CCATAGGCCTGCCATATTTTTCCATAAATCAGCAGGAAGACAACATTTTACAGAAGAAACATGATTTCTTCAGATACTGTAGGCTCATTTTGTATACCTGGAGCAGTTCTCTAATCATGTGAATATAAATCACATGGTTCATCTAACCACAGCATGGCAGCAGGTAGGTCTGGACTTCCTTTCCATTGACAACTCCACCGAGCCAGCAGCCTGACACAAGGATGCAGCAGATCAGATGGAAATAGCTACCTGTCACCTGCCAAATGTCCTTTCCTTCAAATGTTGCCAAGGGCTAGAATAAATCCAATTCCTTCCATATGTCACCATTCTATGGTGCATCTGAAGGTGACCATAAAATTATCTTAGCTTCTGTCTTGACTGAATGGTAAACACAGACAGGGAACACTATAACATATCTGTGCCCTCTTCAGCTAGAAAAATGCAAAAATTATCAATCACTGTCCCGCCCTGCAGTGATTATCCCTGCAGGAACAAGGATAATAATAATCCCTGAAGTAACAAAACTCTTTCATACATGCTCAAAAAAAGAAAAGGGAAAAGTAATACATGCTTACATGCAGTTTATCTGACTGATCATTTCTTCAAATTTACAAGCTGATGATGTAAGGCGAAATCTGGCTAGCCATTAAAACATATACATTCCCATTAAACAATGTTGGCATGAGTATTTTTTTTTATGTTAAGCACTTTTCATAACAATTGGAATAAAGTTTGCAGAACCTCTGGTAGGAAGAGCCTGGAAGTTGAAGTAAAGCAAAAGATAAATGTAAATTGCAGATTCTAATCAGCCTTTTTAGAGGGATTGTGAGACTGACTGGAATGACTAAGATGGAATCTCTGATTAAGACAGATTTAGTACTGTACATCGCAGTATTGTAATATTGTAGAGATCAGACGTTTTTCCTCTTGAACAGGCATGAGAAATCAAATCTTCTTTTATCTTATATGATCATCAGAGTGTGTACATGTCTAAAAAATAGCACTAAGTATGGGCTTACTCTAGGTTTTAGGAAAGGGCTTGGATTGTTCCACTCTGGAATTTTTACAAGTGTAAAACAAAATTTAGTAATTCTTCTTCACCAAATTCATTCTACTTCTGGATCTCTCTAACACTAAATAATAAATTGAGTTTCACGGTCAAATCATAAATACATTTATAAATAGAAATTTGAAGAAAATAGATTATGTCAGAGCTCCTGTACTGTCTAACTCTCTTTTGTCAAGATTATCTTCAATGCAAATGATGAAGTAGTGCGTGATCCATGAAAGCTGATGCAGTAATAAATGTGTTAATCTTCAACCAATAAATGAATTAAAGCACGTGATTCTGTTGCTTCTTCTGCTAAAGAATAATGCAAGTACTTTTCTAGAAACCATCTCACATTTTCTGTAATGGCATTCCATTTTCAGTAGTACAATGGAATGCAGGTCATAATAATTTTTAATACAGGCAATTGTTTTAAAATATAGTTTGCTGATATCCTTTTTCATTCTTTCATTCTTCATCTTGAATGAACACTTTATGATTGCCAAAGACTCCTACCACCCGTTAAAATATTTACATTCTATCTAAAAGATGAATGATTGGTTACAGGCAACTGATATCAGAGGCTTATCACATTCCCTCCCCTTTTTCTTTTATGTCTGTCTTTGCACAAGTTCCCCAAAATAAATCTGCCCAGTTAAGAAATCTGGTTTCTGCAGAGCCAGTAATCTCCAACATGATTCACTGTTGATTTGAATTTAACTTGCTATAGATTCATGGACAAAAAATGATCATTCCTGCCAATCTATTATTCAATAAACAATGTTATATTTTCAGAAAAATGCAAAACCAGGTTGCTTGCTTGTTTGCTTGCTTATTTATAAATAATTCAAGGTGTTAATATATCTAATACTCCTTCATTGTCCTATTTTCCCTATGAAAACAATCCAATGAAGTGGTTGATCTGAGAGAGAGTGTGTTCAACAGGATTCTGGATTCTTTCTCATTGACTTTTATGCATATTGTTGTGTCCCGTGCCTGCAGAAGCAGGCGCGGGAAGTTGCAAGAGTCCCGGGCATTTGCAGAAGCTGCCTGGGACCAGACTGACCGGCGCCGGCCTTGCGCACATGCGCAAGGCAGGAAAGGACTGCCTTGTGACTGGTGGGAATTGTCCGGGGATTGGAGAGTATATATAGAGGCTTGCGCGCCTCTGGGGTTGTCATTGTTCGTAGAATGGAGCAAACAATAAAGACTTGTTGGAGATGCTTCGTCTCAAGCGCCATTATTCTCCGGACTTAACACATATTGTCCTTGATCAGATCAACTTCCTTCCACATTGGTCTTAAATGTGATACATAGAGAACCATTTTTGTATACTGGTAAAAATGCTGGCCCAGAAACCAGGAGACTATGAGATCTAGGCCTCCCTTGGGCATGAAAGCCAGCTGGGTAACTTTGGACCAGTCACACTGTCTCAGCCCAATCCACCCCAGACTATTGTTGTGGGTAAATAGGAGCCAGGAGTATTAAACTTGTTTGCTTCCTTGAATTATATATAAAAAAGGAATAAATTTCATTATCATCATCATCATCATTGCTACAATCTCATTTTAGTGATTTTGCATAAATTGTTTATAAACAATGCCATAACACAATTGTCAGAATGATTCCCTGGAATATCTGTAAAAAATGCCATATGCCTGTAATAAAAAAATTGGTGGGAACACAGAGTTGAAAAGGTAGTTGGAAATGAGCAAGTTAAAATACTGTGAGATTTCTGAACACATAGTGATAAAATCTTGACTCATATCATACCAAATTTAAATGTGGTTGAAAAGAAGTATGGATAATTGATATGACAATAGCAGGGGATAATAGAATAGAAGGTAAAGAATTGAAGAAAATCAAATTATCAAGTATCAAATCCAGTCTAAACATCTGGATGACTGTGCAACCAATAAGTCTAATTATCATGTGTGTTGACAAATACCTGTTGAACTCAAGGTTCTTTACTCTCTATACAGAGCATTTATATACTGTTGCATCAGAACCATACCAATCTTTGTAAGTTGTTTACCAAGATACCACTTGTCACATTAGCAATAGGTCACTGGTTAATGATACAGAAGGCCCTCTGTGAGCATTTTTTGAAGTTGAATGCATCTTTCTGTTCATCTCAGTTTTGTTTTGTTTTTGAGCTGGGATGAAAGATGGATATATGTTTTTTTTAACATAGGTATTTTGTTCAGGCTTCTTTAGAAGGTAGTTCCTAATATCCCATGACTCCACAAATGAGTCCCATATATCCCCATTAATTTGCATTAGTCAATTATGTTATCAAGGACTTGTGACTTACCTTTTCCTTCTGAGTATACAATGTCTGGAGAATAGACCCTCTGCCATAACAACTGAGCGTTTTGCAAAAGTTAACACAAAATGAGTTCTTCAGTTAAGGTGAATAGAATTTTGCCTTTTATTTCAAGAAGGATAAAAATGGTGGAAGGTACCCTGATTAATATCTTGCCTACCCCTTCTCAGTAACAGATCTATGTACCTAATATATTGAATGCCAATCTTTATTTAATTTCACCTAACGTGAAATAAATGTACAAGAATTCTGCTCCAAAATCTTATAATTTCCTTCTACACATACCAATGACCATATATCTATCTAATAAATAACAAGCGATCAGTTCAGATCTCTGGGGAGGACTATCCCTTAGCTGCAATCTCTGGATGGGAAAAAGAATATCAGTAATTAGTTCATGAATTTGAAACTTTCAAGGAATTCCAGTGTCTTTTTTTGAATAGTCAGGAAAAAAATCCAGAACAAACCACTGGCAGGCCCCAAGAAAGCTGCAAGGATGTATCAGTAAAATCACCAGGAAATGAACTCAATCCAAAGCAGATCTTATTTCAGCCATTTGCTCTGCAGACCAAAAACAGTTAGCTCTTCCTATCAAGACACACAGAGAGGGCAGGGGGCAATTTGTGACTAATGCTGTTTAATATAATCATCAACTGATTTCTAGAAAACAGAAGAGCAGCAACCCATAGAGAAACCCAACGTGTAGAACACCACATGAATCTGAAATCTAAGAGATCTGAAATGAACAAAGACCCGGGGGGAGGGGGGAAAGCACTGGCATTCACTGAGGTTATTCTGGAGCACTTGTTTGGGGAAGTAGCTCTTAGCCAAGATGAAAGGTCATACTTAAGTAGAATAGGCAGACTAGTCTAATAATACCTCATTAGGCTTATTTAGGTATAAAAGGAGTAAAACTGATAAGATTTGTATTTTCATTTGCTTTGTTCCTAAAGGAAGTCCAGAGGCCATACCTGTACACACCCACACATTGTTCACTTAAGAGATTAGCTTCATAAAAAAAACCTGATGATGATTTAGTGTCCCTAACCTAGTATTATAACTAGACTGAAAGAATAAATAGGGACTACTGCAGCACTACACATGGAAAAGAGTCAAAGAACTATATCACCAGTTTCACTCATCTCCAGGAGACTTTGAACTTGAATTTCCCAAATAGCACACATGCCTGTGTTTTGGTTTTGGTTTTATCCTTAAGAGAAAGTTCGAAAGGGTTCAGCTTCCTTTTTAAAGTTTGGTTTAGTACTTTTTTTTCATCTATTCCCCATCTCAAAGCAATAGAAAATCATACTCTGATTTTTAGTCATTGTTGGGACTGGAGGACAATGCAAAAGCCACACAAAGGAACTTAGCTTGCCCACCCTTAACTGGAACAACCTAGTCAAACTGCCACAACTCTACAAAGGAAAATCCCCCCCCCAAGTTTCCTTTTGCTGGCAAATTGAAGAGGCCCCTTTACAAAATTCACTCATCCTGTCAAGAAGTCATATGAAGACCAATGTATTAATTACTACTTCTCAGCATACCACAAACTAAGTTCAGTGGGGCATACAAGTAGTAAACCAGCAGTGGAATGCTCTGTGGGAAAACAAACAGAGTCAGAGTGAAATGGCAGTCTCTGCTACATCTCAGGCCTACTGGCTTGCTTTGGTCAGGGCAGAAGCTGAGAGGTAATTATTTTCTGTGGGACCCATCAGGAAATACTGGGAGCTTTATATCCATATTATTGTGCTTCTCAATCATGCCATTATAGAAAAGCTCCAAGGCTTTCACCAGTAAGGTTGACAGTAAGGGCAGTTTTGTTCCTGTGGAATTTCCCAAATGGAGACAGCATCTGGTAGGGGTAGAGAACTCTTTACTGTTAGCAGATCAATTCTTTGTAGTGGGGAGGCTAACAGAGAAAGCACCTTCTCCTCCACCTCCATCCTTGCTTCCTCTATCAAGTCACCTCTGGATTTTCAGTCTCGGAACTCAATGGGCAGCATTTATCTCAAAGAATACAATGCTTGAAATGTCTTCATTCCAATATACATTTATCTCTGAATATCTTTGACATGGGGAGGGGAAAATCAGATGAAGAAAAATAAAGCAATGAGCTATCAACACTGGATTTTTGTACCAAGGAACACTCCCTCTTTTAGTTAACCCAAAGTAGATCTTAAGATTATTAATCAGAAGGTAGCTATTAAATGCAAGTATCAGTTTTGACATGTTCAGTGCCTCAGGCATTCAACTGTTTGTATTTTGGAAATAAGAATGCCATTGTCATTTAGCCAAGGAAGTAATTATTTCTGAAGCTACTGATTTGTGTAATGACTAGTTTAAAAGGGGCGTACCTGCTACAGAAGTTCATGAATTCATTGAAGTGCTTGGCTTTCATTTTGTGCTCTTTGCTGGTGACTTTTTCAATCAATCAGAATAAAGTTGGAAGGGACCTTGGAGATCTTCTAGTCCAAGCAGGAGACTCTATATCATTTCAGATAGGTGGCTGTCCAGTCTTTTTTAAAAAAAAAACAGTGATGAAGGACCTATAACATCTGAAGGCAAGCTGTTCCACTGCTTAACTGTTTTCACTGTTAGAAAGTTTCTCCTTAATTCCAGGTTGCTGGTCTCCTTGATTAGTTTCCATCCATTGTTTCTTGTCTTGGCTTCTGATGCTTTGGAAAATAAGTTGACCCCCTCTTCTTTGTGGTAGCCCCTCAAATACGGGAATACTGCTATTTTGGTAGGTTGAATTCTTCCAGCATGGATACTACAAAGAATGCTACTTTACAAATGTTTGTATATGAGGTATTTTTATTTATAAAGCAGACACCATCAATGGCATTTAATTTGTTGGGAGAATATGAAAATGCAGACAGTAAGAGCAATCAGCTATGAAGCAAATATTACAAAATACTTTCTCAGTCCTTCTTTTCTTATTTTATATGATATTGCATGTTTCATAGTAGTATACTCTTTGTATTTTAGGAATGAATTACTTATTCATCTTAAAGGATGTCAGATTGGGGCTAATTTCCCAAACATTCCAAGCATAATCATATTATCATCCACATCAATTGCATTCCTAAGCCTCAAAGGGAGTAGTATGTTGGGAACCTATATCAACACCTTCTGCAGTAGTTCAGTAGCAAAGGTACTGCAATAGGAATGTGGAAATAGCTTTGCACAACCCTTAAGAAGTAGGACATCAAAGAGTTCTTGTGACCTTTAAGTACTCCATGTGTAAGATATGAGGCATGATTCTTACTTGACATCCTTTCGATTCATTCTTTTGTACTGGATTGTACAACAATCCAAAATTCTCTAAGTGGGATGTCATCAAATGCCACAATCATATTCCTTTGCATTACCTTAACAAAATTAGATATTTTGGAATCAATAATTTAAAAAATTTCCAGAAAGAAAAAAGAGAGAGATTTCAGATGGGAGAGTTACTTCAGTCTAGAAGATTTCTGCCAGATTTTGAGAGGGAAATTCTGATAAAATGCTAAAGTCAAATGCATTTTAAGAGTTTTGAAAATAAATTTACTGTATATTTAGTGAAAGAGATCCAGTTGGTGTAGTGGTTAAGGCTAGTAATTGGGAAACCATGCGTTTTAGGGTAATAGAATGTGGGAAAGACCTTGGGAGATTGGGCAAAGAGATGCTGCCAAGGGAATAGTCAGATAAGAGACAGTATAGCTCAGAGGGATAGTGGGCGGGACAGGGCCTCACTCAGGAGATACCCTCCCTAGTTTCTCAGGTGATAATGTAGATGAGGGGGAGGAGAATTGTACTTCCAGACTTGCAAGATTGATGTCAACCTTGCAGAGTAAACCAGATAGCATTTCAACCAAATGAGCTCATTCTTCTTTATTGTAATGCTATATTCACAGAATCTTGCAAGTCTGAAAGTACATTTCTCCCTTTGACTTCTTTACCACCTGAGAAACTAGGGATGATCTCTCCTGATCCTTTTGCCCTTTCCATTATCCCTCTGCAGGCTATGGTGCCTCTTATCTGACTATCCCCTTGACAACATCTCTTTGTCCAGCTCCCCCCCTCCAAGGTTTTTTCCCCACATTCTATTACTTCTAGTCCTGCCTCAGGCACAAAGCCAACTGGATGGCCATGGGCCACTCACTCAGTCCAGGAAGCAAACAATGGCAAACCATTATCAGAATCTTTCCAAGAAAACTGCAATGACTTTTCTAGACAGTCTCTGACCCAAAGGGATACATACACAAACATATTTAATGAGGAAAAATGACGTTGCCTTGTAGGGCAATGCAAAATACTAGTAGTAATGTCTTTCCAAAGTCCTTTTTTTAAAGGAAAAAAAATCACCAATACTTCCCCTTATAGGTGCCTGCACAGAGTTATGAATTTTAAAAAAGGATTACCCTCATGCAATAGCTTCAAAGCAGATCAGAGGTGGACAATGGAGAAAGAAAAGCTACATTATACATACATTGTGCCTTATAGTTTAGCTGAGTTTTTTTCCTAATAAAAGGCATCTTGTTTTATACTTGCCGTGAGACTTGCCCATCCTCAAAAAGTGTGAAGATGATTTGTAGAGAGCAATCTGCTCTCAAAAATCATTTGGCTTGATTAGCATGCTTTCAAGGCTGTTGGCAAAGTTAAACCAGTCATACAACTTTTCTTGGGTGGAGAATTTTGTGAATAATTAGCCTTCGGCTGTGAAACTATAGAGCCACGCCTGATTTGAATCTGACTTCTCTTCTTGTATCTGGAACCACATGAAGACTAGGATAGCCCAGTTCTGATCATTCTCATGATAAAATCTTTGCCATTTACTGCCCTACATTTCAGCTGAAAGTTTTAAACATTCTTCGGTAGAAGTACCATATGACTAGTAACAATACTACCTTACAGTATGTTGAAAATGACACTTTTGGCATGTTTTTTTCTTTTTTTCAAATACGTCTTCATTGATTTCAGACTATCTGAACAATTTAGACTTCTGTGACATACTGTATACTTCTGCGACATATACTTCTGCGACAATCAAGAATGCTGATATACAAAATGTATTTATTTGAGAAGCACCCTAGTTCTAAAACATTAGAAATAATAGAGAAATCTTGTAATGAGACATTATGCAATTCATAGTACTACTGTATGCTATTGTATGTCTTCAAGGCATTAATCTACTTGAAGAGGGAAACTGAAGAAGTACTTATCTTCACCTATTTTAATTATGTTGCTAAATGTTCCCTGTGAAAAAAAAATGAGCACAATATCGTGGTATTCTTATTTTGTGATAATCTCTGAGCTCATTGAGTTCATCCAAGCTGTCCCACTCACATTGGTGAATGGGGCAACTTGGATCTTCTTCCTGATTTATAGTTGCCTTGTCCATCTACAACAGGGGTGTCAAACTGCCGGCCCGCAGGCCAGTTTCATCATACCGGAGCCGCGCCCACCCCATTGCCGGCAATGGTGAAAAAGCTCCGATATGTCGCGCGACGTCACATGACGTCGCGAGTTTGACATGCCTGATCTACAACACTGCTTGATTGTTAGGATATCCCAAAGATGCTTTTTAAAAGGCAACTGGGCTTTCTTGGTTTTTTCCTTGAAAATGTTTCACTTCTCATCCAAGAACCTTCTTCAGTTCTGAACTGAAGAAGCTTCTTGGATGAGAAGTGAAATGTTTTCATGGAAAAAACCCAAGAAAGTCCAGTTGCCTTTTGAAAAGCCCCTTTGGGACAACCATGATCTGGATGATTGAGGATCTCCATAGATAGATTGTTAGGATAGAGCTTGGAAAGGTATCTGAAAGGGAAAGTTTCCTCTATTCATCTCCTAGATCAGGGGTAGGCAACCTCGGCTCTTTTATGACTCATGGACTTCAACTCCCAGAATTCCTGAGTCAGCAATTCTGGGAGTTGAAGTCCATGAGTCATAAAAGACCTGAGGTTGCCTACCCCTGTCCTAGATCATACTGTTTATTGGATGCCATCATGTGGCTTTTAGCCCCTTTCAACCTACATTCCACCTTCATTTTTTCACCACTGTATGGAAGTTAATTGTCAATTAGTAAACCAATGTTCACTTAGGGCAGGGCATTTACAGGAATAGAACTTTTCTTGAATATTGTTACCTGAATAGTTACTTGTATTGCAAGTTACTTCTTCATAGTTGAAGGATAGAAAGTACTTAACCAGATCTATAAGGGACAGGAGCTTTAGCCTGTTGCAGCCTAATTGCTGGTAACCTTACCTGCCACACCTCCATGTTGCAAATGCTCATATTTTTGTAAGGTCAAAATTCCTGCCACTCCCAAATCTAAGTCAACATACAGGCTAACTCACCAGCAATTGGGCTGTCCAGTGACCTGATCTGTACTCTGCATCATAGCAAAATCAGAAGTCAATTCTACATTAACTTCATGTTGCAATCTTATTTTAAACTCTGGTTCTGTTTTTATTGTATCTGAAAAAAATTGATTTGGTTCTCACCATATCCCTATCTATATAATCAGATATGAAAGTAGGAATAAAGATTTATCTCAGCAAGATTGTATTTCATCTCAAGACCACATGGATGTCACAGTTTACCACAATCTAGAACTTTTAATTGACTAATTTGGAGACCAATCACTGATCAAATATCTAAACTCAATTCAGATGTATAAAACATTGGTGGCAGCATGAAAATGTTG